AATCAAAGAGGATGAAAAGCAATAAAAGTGAATAAACAGTGACATGGTAGGATAGGTTTTGATTGAGGTTGGTGAAACTTCAGGGGGCAGTAGTCATAGGGAAATGTACAAGTCTGGTGCATCGGCTGGATTGTGCTGATCTACTCATCTTCATAAATTGTATTATCATTACAAGGAGTACTCTTGGAATCAGTTAGTTTAGTTGTAACGCTGAATAATTTCCTATCTCTTCTTCCGTCACAGTTGGTGACTAATAAATTATTCGGAGAATATTTATTATTAAAGATTCCATTCTTTTACTTGGCGTTCATCTCATTATTCGGACCTCTTCCTGACTCCCTCTCACTCCCCTCAATGAAACTCGTACACAAGTTGTTGTACAGCATAAAATCGTATATTTCTCTCCTGCAGCCAGTTGAGTCAGACTAGGAGAAGAAGTAAAAGTAGGTAATCTAAATAAAACACTGGACAAGGAATGGCTTGTTATCTTCCTCGTCCGTTTGGAAAAATTATTTTCTGAATCTTTCAGAACCACTGAATCTTTGAAACGTTTCAGCTCATAAGACAACGTGAAATGTAGCGTGTATCCCCCACAGCTGCTCCTGCACTGACTTTGGAGCTCACGAAATGCTGTTTGCCAAATATGGATTGCAACCAAGATTTATTAGAAAATACTACATTCAGTGCTCACTGGGTTAAACTTTAATCTTTCTCGAACACAGGGAATCTCTTCAGAGTCTTGAGGGTAAAAAAAATCTCTTCCTTGAGCTAGAATTTCTCTTCCTTTACGCCAACACAAATAATTTAAGTGATTGACCCGAGAAAATTGAGGGCAAATGTTGAATAGTGACTGCTCTCGAGTTAAATTTAGTTGTGTGTGAGTGAAGTTTTAAGTTGGAAAGGCGTCAGAAAGGGGTGTGTCTTGTCACACTTCAGGACCACTGTTTCAGCTGAAAAAATCTTGCTCTTTTTAGCTGAAAAATATTACTTTGTCTCAAGATGGGATAGAGATAAAAATAAAATGTGGAGATTTTTATCTACATACCACCGCAAGTTAGCATTTCATATTTTATGACTTCCTCATTCCCCTCGAATGAGCAGTTTGTTTGTGGCAGTTTTAAAATTGGAAGTGAAAAATGACCCTGCGGCCCTTAATTTTTAAAATGTAATGGCTATAAACAGCCAAAGCCTGCGTGATCCATAAACCTGGGGGCAGACGCACAATTATTGAAGAAGATGTGCGTTGAAGTCATTTGCATTCCGGTCACAATTTCGCTGCACCTTGATCACTATTATTATACTTTTACACCCATTGTCCCTCGGAGATTAATTTACTCTGGTCCGCGTTTCCAAGTGCGTCCATCTATCTTTATGCCCAAAGTTTATTCAATTTCGGAAATTGAGTAGGTTTTCCTAGTTGCACTCGATATTTCGAAATGCATACAGTCGAGTTCAACCCTCAAAGCTTGTCCGCATTTGGAAAGTGAAATGAAGTGCATTCTGTTGCATCGTAATTCTATGCAAAGCAGACAGTTAATCAACTCGCTCACTACAAATGAGCCAGCAGCGGTTTCTGCTATTAGCTCTGCGTGTAAAATTGTAGCTTGTTTTTAGCACGGCAGGCTTTTGGAGCTTCTAATATCTTGTACAAATAGGACCTTTCGTCTCATCTCTACTCCTGCCTGAATAGCCTGGACGTATTTATGCATGGAAAAGCATTAGTCTGGCCTTCTATTTATGTGAATAAATGAAATGACACGACACGAGACCATCATTACAAGTCGCGTGCTTACAGCGTCGCCGTGATTGCTCGCATTCAAATGTAGGGACAAACAAGATCTACCGCCTGGTCGTTTATTTGATGCGTCGTCGTGTATGCGTATATGTGTGTACATCATTCCATTCCATCGTTTTCGAATGTTTGTTGGAGAATGACTTAATTTCGAATGTTTGAAACACTTTAAATTCTAATGGTGCGATGGACCATTGAGTTCTTTCATATTCTTCTGTGCATGCATATGCTTCTGAGGGTGAAGGTTAATAACTAGATTGGTGTCGAATCATGGTGCAATGCCACTGCGTGAACGAACTGACCTTTAGTGTGCAGCCACCGTTGTAGTTTTCGTTAGCAGGTTGGACTTCTCCTTTTAATCTTGGGAAATTCTTTCCGTCATGAAAGTATTTCGAAAGTTGTGGCGAAGAATATTAAGCTGGATCTTAGAACTCTCCAGGAAATGGTTCCCATTCAAGTCACACTTTCGCTCCTAATTGCATTGCATTATGAGGTATTAACTGGAGTTAGTCTCCATTATTACTTGCAAAATAGCTACTCGTGTTGTGCCGCAAATCGAATTTAATAATTTGGCTTGCCATTAAATTAATATTTTGAATTCTCAGTTAGTGAGTAGAATCTTTGCTAAATATTTCAAAGTATTTCTATGCATGAACGCCACGAGTGATTCGTTTGAGCTCTCTGTTACTTTCTCGACTTGGTTGAATGAGAAGGAAACATCACTCACTTTTTTCGTGCAAGGCAGTGTAAGAAACTCTATCTTAAGGGTTACGGTTATTACTACTTCTCGGCAATATTCGTCACTTTAAATACTACACACTTCATAAATAAATGTATTGGATACGCATTTCCAACGCTTACTTGGTATGTTAATCCGAATCTGGCTTGGTCGTTGGTTCATAAACACAATTTCCGGCAGTGACAGAGTCAAAGTTGTGAAGTTGTGTCACGACTATTTACAAGGAACCATTATTATTAGTGGCTGCTGCTTGGTATGCAGTGTTAAAATATGAAATGCTTCAAGCATAAATGTCATTTATAATGCGTCACATGTTTTAAATGTGGTAACTAAATCCGCCATTGGTTTCGCATTTCGAATTTCTAGTAGGCTGTGACTTTGGTTCTTGTAATAATTTTATGTCATGCATCGATTCAGACATTTTTATTACTTTTTGAATTAGTTACGTTTCTTCAGGCTTCTGTTTTAATCTTCCCAAACCCTGCAACTGATTGGGTCGGCCGTATGTACAAATTAATAACATTCTATCCCAAATCATCCCTTCAGAGTTCAAACTATGAGAAATATTTGTATACATACTTCCTTGAATATGGTACATAATGTGAGCGTTCGGATTGCTTAAAACTCCATTTTGTACGAAAACTAATTTTATGAAAAAATAGAATTTGTTGTACACACTTACGCCATTTTCTTAAAACGCTTTTTTTAAAAAATTTTCTTCCAATATGCAACCACCACTCTGTTAATTAGTACACGGTGTTTTTCCCCTCCTCGCCAATTAAAGAATATGTCAGAGTTTTTAATACCAAGTGATGAAGCTCCTCATCCATCCGTCCTCCAACAACCAACCAAAAAATGAGTGCCATGAATTTCATACAAAATAGGATTCCAGCCTGACTGAGCACTTTTGGTTACTTTGCTTCTGGGCTTATGAAGAACTCTAAACTGCGAGTTATTAGTTAATACAAGTTTAATAATGCGAGGAGGGATCTTATTACGGGGTGAATTATTAGGAAAGAATTATGATGACAGCTCCGTTTGGCTTCTTCTCATCGGGTCTTGTCTCCACAATAATTGTTATTGCTCTGCCTCTTGCATCCAGCTTTATCGTATTCAAATTCGTCGTAATATGCAGCTTTCGAATTTTGTACCCACACACACATGCTCACACGGTAATGCATTATGCCCACTAGCAAGCACCATCAACTTCTCCATTAAATGTTTCAGATCAGGTTTACTTTGGCTCTTACCACGACGAGAGAGATTGTAAATAGTTGTGAGAATTAGTGGCTGTTGAACGGTTGAGTGGGTTGCATAATTCAGAATGGGTGCATCGAGTATGCGTGTATGTACTCGCTATAATTCCTTGTTCCGTTTCATTAAAACGTTGAATGGGCCAACATGTTTTGTTTCAATATTTCAATCTCATGCACAAGTCGCAATGTAAATGACGTGTTCAATTGAAGCCAATTTAGATTCACATTTGTTGCCTTAAATTATACATTTGACGAGGAACAGTAGGGTTGTAATGAAACTGAGCCCTTGAATGGACAGGACTTTTAAATTGCTACTTACGCACATGGCACGACGATGATTGCAGTTAACTTGACCCTCCTCATCACCAGCCTCGTGCAGGCTGTATGCTCTTCTCGTGTTAATTTTCTAATTTAAAGTGATATTTAATTGCAACTGTTATTGTGTTTCGTTCATGTTCTACATGGAACTATAGCCTCGATGATAAAGAGTAGTGAGCAGTTTTTTATGACACATGCCGAGCTCCCCGATAGCTTTTTTGCATCGCGTATGAAATAATGATCTCGCTGCCCTCGTTCTCATCATCACTGAATGGATAATTATTGGTCTGCCTACGGGCATTCAGCAATCACCAAAAATTTACGAGACCTAACTTTGATTGGGTGGTTAGTTAGCAAATATATTGCAATTTCACTTTATTATTTATCTCTAAATCTTAAATGCTGATTTTATGCAGTTGAAATAGTCTGAAATCAAGTATGTAATGTCCACAAATCATACACTTTCTGACGAGGAGATGCTCTACTTTTAATGTTTGTGGTTGCCCCTGCAGTTCTCAATTTACACGTTGTATTCAGGATTAGTGTGGCGTAGTAACTCTGCATGAAGAACCAAATGTAAAGTTCTTATTACGAAACGAAATGGGTGTGTTCATTGTCCGTTGAACCTCAGTTGTCAAAATGAGCATACACCACAGCAAATTAGCAGCTGTCAGAGAGATCAGAATCGGCACAGCGAGTGGTGTGATTATCATGGCTCTCGTGTATAAATAAATAATTCATTTTCACTTATAACCATCTCCTGAACCAGATCATCTATGAATCTAGATTGCAACGTCTTCAAAAGTCGAATGTTCAACAACAACCATATCCATATCCATCCAACTTATGAATTTATGAATTTCATCTAAAATACGTTTTTTTTTATTATGAACAGGTCAATTTCGGTCCCCGCGAGTAACAGAGGTAAGTTTCTCAATTAGATTTGCAATGATTTTGGTTTTTTTTTATCCCTGTCCAGTTCAGCAGTGTGATTGTGAATATCAATTTTTCTAGCATCCAAAGGATGTCCTAGTCAAAAAGAACGAGCCGACGACGCTGAACTGCAAGGCGGAAGGGAAACCTGAGCCGCACATCGAGTGGTACAAGGACAACGAACTTCTCAACGGTGGGTCGCAACCGGATGGTCGCCGAATATTTTTACCAGGCGGTGATCTCTTCTTCCTCTCCGTGTCTGATGGAAAGAAAGAAAGCGACTCTGGTGTGTACTGGTGCATAGCAAGAAATCAGGTATGTACGATTTTTAACCCGTTTTTCTCCAGTAATTGCTTGACGAGTGAAATTATACTCGGTTCTAAATTTACAACTCGTGATGACACGCAGGTCGGAAGTGTCCGCAGTCGAAATGCAACTCTTCAAGTCGGAGGTAAGATTGCACACATGTGTTTCCTTATATTTGTAATTTTCTTAAAGTGAGAGCACACCACGGAAATGCGAAAACGAGAATTCTCCTTCTTATTTTCTTCTGGGTGAAAAGAAAAAAAACAACAAAGAAATACATCTTCTCACCAGCCATGAAACTCACCCTTTCTCATAATCATGGCACTTTGCCGTTTTGTCGGTGTGTGTCAATGCATCCAGATCTCAATCTATCCCCATTGAAAGATTTTTACCCGTCCGTATACCGCCATACCCGGCCCACCTTGCGAATCTTCCTCCAAACACGTGCCCAACAAATAATTAATTAATTGACCATGTGAAGTTTCTTTTAGTTTCATTAGATTAACGAGGAAACTTTAGTCATATTTACAATTTAATTATATTTTTTGTGACGTGTAAAGTAATTAAATCAGTGATTCAAATCCTAACTTGACTCTGAATTCACATACAGGAGTATTTATTACAAAGGTGAGCAATTTTTAATGCTGTTTTGCAAACACTCAGTAAAAAAAAAATTTCGGGCAAACACTTTGATTAAATAATTGGAAAATTTTGTGCATCTCACTTTTTTAAATTTGCTTTGCTTACATACAATTTTTCACAAAAGCCGCATGCTACACGATTCTTCGCCGATTTTTTGGGATATGAGGGGGGAATCAAGGCAATTTTTGTACCATTGTACAAATAATGCTCAAATATTTAAAATTTTATATTTTACGATTTAAACGCTTAGTATATTAATACATCTCACGAAATATCATAGTTTATTTATTTTCATTGCTTGAAATTGTATTTATTATTAAATTAGTTACTTTAAATATGAAAAGTGGCAAAAATGTTTTCATTGCATAAAAAAGTGTATAATATTGTTGAGAAAACTGATCGATTATTTAGAAAGCTAGTTGCTGAAACTAAAGGTGTAATGAACATTTCTTACTTGGATACAAAAATTGCTAACAAGATTCTCAACATATTTATGAATGGCGAATTATTTCCACATGCAGCTGACCATTTTATGACTTTTAGTATTGCAGAACCATCTCATTTGTCTAAACTTGTAAAGGATGTTGTGCATCATTATTGTAGAATTAGATTATTTGACCACGGTAGACGATACGAGTTATTCAAAGAAATATCAGAGCGTCATAAACGTAATAAGTTAACTTTGTTCAAAAACCAGTGACTAAATCATTAATGTAAGAATTCTTTGTCGTGAAAATTATATATGGATATTCGTAATTTGTTCTTGACTAAAATTTTGAAAATTTAATATTTATAGTATTTACTTTCTCATTGGGTATTGATTTGTAAACTCTGATAATCAGCACCGATTTTGTAGTAATGACAAAATAAATATTTATGCTCCTACTTATATATTTGCTCATCACAATTTCCATAAAGAATATAAAACTTAAAACTGATCTCGTACATTTCGATTTTACAGTCATTTTAACGGATTGAAAAAAATATTTACATGACAAATTGGCAAAGTTATAAGATTTATCGTACTCGGGCGAAAAAATTGAGGAAGGTAAGATTTTTGACACGAAACCCCCTCATAATCATTTTTTGCACACCACCACCACCGCGATGGCCGCAGCCTGTCTTCTCCATTGGCAGAGTATTGTCATTTCCTCTATTTATAAATACACCTCTGTGGTGTGTGTATATTGCAAGTTTGTCCAGCTCTCAGCCTGACAAGAAAAACAGGAGGAAGCAAAGTAAGTAAGAAAGAGCAGCATCATCGTTTGAGTTGAGGTTTGGGGCATTCTTTGGGTGTAATGTTTTGAGTGAGGAAAAGATGAGAAGAAGAATCTCGCTATCCTATTTGCTAGCCTTCTTATTTAGAAGCATAACATGGCACGAGAGGTGATCATATTAAAGATAAAACTCTCCTCACTTCCTGCATTCACTCGAGGAAATTTCTCTCCGGAAGAAAATTCTCAAAAACTGACTACAACCCTGAGAAAGTGGAGATAACTGGCTAGCTGAGCTGGAATAACACACGCAAGCAAACAGTTTTTGTCCTTGGAGAATTTCTCCGTTTACTTTGAGCTGCACCACACGCCGAACAAATTTCCAAACCATTTCCCTCATTTGGTGAATAGGTGTAATGTGATGGAGAATGGAACGGGAAGAGAGACCGTCATTTTCTTTTATGAAATCATCCCATCGTCCCCATCCCACCCACCCACTCGCCAAACCAACAGCCAAACCCGTGCGACATTTTTCTATCTTCCTCGCTAATTCGCTTCCCAATATTTCACCCCATCTTGTCAGAAAACGTGTTAGCGTGTAAGCAGCTCTGCCCAAGGATCGTATGGTTAAAATTCATGGACTGAAAATCATTTTATTACATTGCTCGCCATTATTCCGAAAGGCATAAATGCACGTGGTTGATGTATGGCAGACTTCACTGTGTTCTTAATTGTTGCATTTTTTTCGTGTTTCATACTTCCAAATTTTCGTCCGAGATGAGCTAAAGATCACCATCACCGGAGGGTGGCAAATAAATATTTCGCATTTGACAGCTCCAACTGGTCTGTGGTGTTGGTGGCGGCGGCAGCGATGGTTCTGTCTGTGTTTGATCACCAAGTCGAAAGATATTGATTATAAATCTCTAAAAAATGCACATGTCAGCAGTCACCGTCAGCTATTCCTAGCTCCCTTTCCCCTCAATGCTATCACGAGAATTATTCCAAATTGATGCCCTGCTTGGTTTGCATAACTGGCTCATACTTCATTCTCCATTTATATTAAAGAGAAAAAAAAATTGAAGGAAAATCCTACTTGTTAACCAGCACACTTTGTATACCGTCCCACAGCGCCCAAATTGTAATATTGGACCTGATAACGTCCAAAGGAGTAGTGTGAACCACAAGTAAAGTAGAAAAATGCAGTTTCCTTTTGCCTGGAGAAGATTGAACGCATTGCTTTTCTCTGTGAAGAGAAATTTGAAATAGTTGCCGAGGTGGTGAGTTGAATCCATTGAAATTCTTGCTGGTTGGGAAAAGTTACTTTCCGCTGAAGGCAATGGGAGATTCTTGTAGACGATACCTTAAAAAGACGCGGAACCATATTTTACAAATTTCAATATTTCATTTTTGTATGCGTGTGGAAGAGACAGGTTTAAATCAGCTTGTCATGTGAGGTGTTGGTTCATCGTGTGTAAGAAGGACTCAAGATTTATTCTGGAATATTTTAACTCCAATCTGCGTAATACGATTCAACCGAAGGTCTTCTTCTTCTTCTTTGGTGGTGTGGTGATGATGATGATTGTGGAATATGCATTGTTATCCAATGTCTTTGTCAATGTCTTTTAAAAACCGAACCACAAAACAGCATATTTCACCCTTGTCGTAAATACAACAGAGTGCTTGCTCGATTTGGACCGGTGTGAGTGTGAACTCTCATTTGAATTTAAATTTCTAGCTGGATATATTTATTTATGGATAAAGTCGTTAATTTTTCAACCTGGAGGAATAGAAAGTTGTTTTTGAGACTTTAAAATCGTATTTTTCGTGTAAGTCTTATAATCTTGTCCATATGATATCGTAATATGAGCCCCTTGAGAAATATAATCCTGTCATTACATCGTAACATACATGACCATGACCATTGTGAGGTGGTTGAGAAGTGTCATTAATGACAGTTCACATGCAGTTTCAAGCCAATGTTTTTTATTTTTATAGCTTGGGAATGAAACGAGGGAGTGAGCTCAACGTGGGCAGCTATTCCTAAAATTCTTACTGCACACAAGGGCTTTCTTAAGAAGGCCGTATTGTACAACAACGGGCCTTTGTTAGGAAAGATCGGTCCCTGGGACGGACAGTCTTGAGACGGTTTATTAAAATACCACTGATAATTCATAGTCGGGTGGAACTCCTGTTCTTAAAACAACACCATTATTAACGTGTGAGCAATTAAGGAGATATGAACTCATGTGGATGAAGCTCATTGTACATATTCCATCATTACGCATAATTGTGTGTTTATTTGTTCTAACGAGGAGCGCAGACGTTCATATGTAAAAATTGTGGCGAAAAGAAGTTAATGATATCCGACAGGAAAAGTCCAGTTTTTCATCACTCCTCGTTTTCTCGACTCAGGAAACAAATTATCCATTACAAGGGAACTCTCAAAGGAAATTCACACCTGCATAGCTTGGTCATCCTTCGAGACTCCATGTCACTCACTCCCACCACTTCAACGTCCAAACCGTTACACTTCCACTCAGGAGGAGAGTACGCCAACCTGATAATGACAGATCTTGATGTCCTTTGGATATATGGTAGTACCCCCTCTGAAAGTAAAAAGTGTGAAGCGGTTTGATGCCATGGCCCAATTTACGCCCGTCACACCCCTTTGAAGGCGCGCCCGATGCCAAACTAACTGCACTAAAAAATTCGCCAAAAATCCAATTTTGTTCGGATTTTCATAATAGTTACATATTTATGATCCCAAATAGTTGCTTTATCATATCTGATATCAATCTGAACTTTTTTGGAATTTTGAATTTTTTCAAGCCATGCCCTTTTCAGGAAATATTCGAAAATATTGAAAATTTCTGAAAAGTTAATTTTGCAACTGAATATGATAAAGCAACTATTTGGGATCATAAATATGTAACTATTATGAAAATCCGAACAAAATTGGATTTTTGGCGAATTTTTTAGTGCAGTTAGTTTGGCATCGGGCGCGCCTTCAAAGGGGTGTGACGGGCGTAAATTGGGCCATGGCATCAAACCGCTTCACACTTTTTACTTTCAGAGGGGGTACTACCATATATCCAAAGGACATCAAGATCTGTCATTATCAGGTTGGCGTACTCTCCTCCTCAGACAGCTAGAGAGGCGTTGGGCTAAAGGCCGAGTAGAATTCGCTGGGTCATGATGTGGGGCTAGGCGGAAGGCATCCCCCAGCCTACAAAGGCTCCACAAGGCCACGAGCCTGCCATACGTTACCATACCTGCCTGCCTGCCACAT